AACTGAGGTGAGAGAAGAATGTGCGATGACGGGCATCGATGCAAAGCAGCCTTTCAACTAAGCTTTTTCTCTCGAAAGGGCTCGTTTACGAGCAGCAAAGCTTGTATTGGTGGCAGTGACAGCTTGTGAGCAAGTGTGTTTTGCACTGCCTGTTAGGTATTATACCATTCTGGGTAGCATCGAATTGTAACTTTGTGGATGTTTTTCTTTGTTTGTCATTGGTCGATAATCATCGGAAGACTTGGGGGCGGTGCTTCATACAGCCATTGACAAATTGTAATTACAGCGGGTGTTGTCTAAAGCAGTGCAGACAGTCTTGAAGGCGGTGCAGAGTGTCTCTTTACCTAGCTACGACTGTTGTTAGGTCAACTCTGGCTATAATAGTCACTGGCGACGTCATCTTGCCACGACCTGCGATCGAACCGAGACAGCGACATCCTCTAGTCACCTATATTTAAAGAAACATGCTCAGGTGGTTGGCCAGGCATCCCCCGTGTCTGCCGCACTCGCCGCTCTGGCGTTCGGCCCGGCCCGGCGCCTGGACCGGTATCCTGCCGTCCGCCCGGCCGGGCGAGTTGGCTCCGTCGACGCCGGTTATAATTGTATCTCGGCACATGTCTGAGCGTATGTTCGCACTGGCTCCTGGAGATCTGAAGGTCGCCTCTATGGCGACGCTCCAATCCCTACCCAGCCGGTGGTGTAGCCTGCCGGATGTACTGGGATTAGAAGCCGGTGATTGTAATTAGGGACGGCGGTCGTCTGGGGAGTGCGGCTGATTTCGGTACAGGCAGTGGACTCCTCCGCAGAGAATGCCGCTGTTTGGTACTGTGGGCGTCGCTGGCGATCTGCAATGCGAATGGGTTTATTTGGTGTGTAATTGATTAATTTGAAGAATGGCTACAACCAGCATGTATAGATGTGCTATTCGGCTGATTGAACTCACCAAACGCACTTAAAGTTTTTTTTTTCTCTCTTCCGCTGAGATGTGCAGATCGATAATTACAGAATGAAAATGTTTTATTCAAGCTTCCCCGAACTCTTTCAGAATTATACACATGTGATTATTGAGCAGGTCCCGTTTATAGGTAAATTCTTACGAGCCCTCATTCAACAACAATGTGAGCTTTTATTAGAGCAGTATCATGGAATTATTTTCGAGAAGGAAGCATGTTGCTTGTTACGAGCTGCATTGATATCAAGCGCATATCAAACATCAGCACTGCTTGCGTTCGTCGAAAGGAAACACTGCCCTTTCGCGTCAGTTCAGCGCGTGATGCGTGCAGTGGGAAATGCGCTTCTGCCGCTATCCGGGAGACGTCAACAGTGGAAATGATTTGTATTGATTCTGGATTATTTGCTTTGATCTGCGCACATACGCTTAGCAAATAACGTCCTTTTTAGCGAGTTTTGAGTGCAGTTGTTTCTCCTGAAAGGTTAATTGACCGAGATGTCAGTTTTTTTTTCGATGAGGGACGCTCGTGTTGAGGTCATTGTAATGACAACGCGACATGCTCCGCATAAAACAGACATGCACATTTTCCCTTCCCTATTCTGAATATATATTTGGCTGATATATTCATGCTTATATCTAGTAGATGGAATCGCTCTCTGGTGCGGAGACTGGTTTTGCGTAGCAAACTTCAGTTCTTACATTCAATGATCTTTTTTGTAAAAATAGTGATACTTGCAGAACATTGAGAAAGCGTAAAATATAAAACGTACTAATGATTTAAAGCTTGATAAATGATATCCCACTTCACTTCGAGAAATGAATAATTGAATATCTGTGCTGTTGAATGCAGTAAACTGTTCGTCATTGAGTAAAGAATAAAAAACTTAAATGTAGACCTATCAAGCGCTGCCCTGGGAAATGGGAGGTCAAGCCGTGTCTAGCGTTAGCTCGCTTGACATTGCGAGTTCAGCGTTAGTCCGCTACGGACTGTGTGTCCCGAGCCCAGACGACGTCAAACACCCCCTGGGGATATCTCGAACGGCCATCATGTCGGCAAACTGAGCCTCCAAATGAGTCCCACAGGCTGTGTTCCGTATGCCCCGCGACCTGCGCGCCATCTGTTGGTGACCCGCGCGTTAGCATGGAACGAGTTCAGTGCATGGAACTGAAGACGTGTAGCACGCAGCGTGGCGCATGGCTTGTAGCTTTGACTCGTGGCGTGGTGTGACTCGCGGCGCACGGCTCGCGCTCGTGGCTCGTAGCTCGTGGCTCGCGGCTCGCGGCTCGCGACGCGGGGTGCCAAGACAAATGGTGTGGCCCTCGCGGCGCCCAGTGCGCTCGGCTGGCGGCTGGTGAGACAGCAGTCATTACTCCTGGTCTGTGTTCGACTCGAGCCGGCGCTGACGGCAGTGTGAGACGGCAGGGTCGTGTGGCGCTCGGGGCGGGAGAAATACGAGAAAAGAACAATAACCCGCGCCCTGCTGGGGGGGGGGTGTTTGAACACCCCCCCTTGTGGTTTTTTGCGAATATCTCAAAAACGGCGGCGCGGAGCGCCGCCGTTTTTGGTACACCTTATCATACATCAATTCTACACATGTTGTGAAAATTTCAGACCAAGGTCATTCAAGGTCAGGTCACCAGGTCACTTGAAGTGACCTCACCTCATAAAAACTTTCAATGTCTGTCATAGCTACACCGAGTGACCGATCGCTTTGAAACTTTCAGCGATTGCTGAGAGCAATAGCATGTACAAAATTTATATCTCAGAATTTTGATATCGATGACCTAAGGTCAGGTCAATTTTGCGACCTCCCCATTATAAGTCAATGGGAGAAAATTGAAATGCGCCTCTTTTGGATGAAAGACATTATAAACACTCCCAAACACCGAATTACAAGTGGTTTAGACACACTGAACTTGAAAATGGTGTCCGTGACCCTTGTTTATGCCCTGAGGTCATCTTAGGTCACGAATGGTATCTAACAGTTTTTCGCAAATAACTTTTGATAGAGGCATGCTAGAGCGATGAAAACGCCTTAGATGTGTTCAGCTCGACGATACGGATCGACTGCTATGCAACATGACCCTTTCCGGTCAGGTCATGACCTTGACCTGAGGTCAAATTTTCAAGTTGACCTTTCAAGGTCAAGTCATAGTTCATTCGATGCGTCTTGACGAGAGGAACACGATGCCGGTAAAAGTAAGCTCGTACAAGGCTTGGGTCAAAAGTTATTGCAGAAAAACTGTTTTCGAAAAAATCGGCTATTTTTGCAGTTTTTGCCCCCTGCAGGCAAAACCGTTGACGTTAGGTCAAATCTGAGAGAATTATTCAGAAAGGGCGTTAATAGGGCTATCGAATGCGCTTTTCCGCGGCGCTGTAGCTCTATTGGTTCCCGAGTTATGCGTTGGCTTCTTGGAAATTGTCGACATTCGACCTGGAAATCGGCGAAATTTTGCCTTCAATGACCTCTGGTGACCTGACCTTTGACCTGACCAAAAAATTGACCGAAGTGATTTCGTCATTATTTTTGACGCTCTTTCGAACGCCGCCTTCCGCGTATCGCTACGTGGCCCAGGAGCCGAGTTACAAGGGGGGGTGTTCAAACACCCCCCCCCCCCCCCAGCAGGGCGTGGAAATCCAGGACCCCCAGCAGGGCGCGGGATAAATGACGGGGCCAGGAGAGAAGACCGTCCGTCCCTACTAGCCTGTGTACGTCTCCAATGGAGAACCCTGGGTGCAATGTGACTAAATAGGATGTGGGCGCGGGGGCCCAGCACTGTCGAAATGCTGTCTCGGTCGGTTTCTGAATCTGTTTACTTGACACGTAATGTATTGATTAAAATGATTGGATGAAAAATATGAACTGTTTTGCGAGACTTTTAGTGCGACATCAGTCAGACGTTGGCGGAAATGAAGCTATTACAGGAAGATTGGTTTTCATAGGCACTGTATTAGAGCTGCTTTGAACTTATAGCGTGTCATTTATTTCATGAGTGTCGAATGCCTAACTTTGGTGGCTCACTCGTTGTACCTTTAAGACACTGAAGGATTTTTGTTTTTGTTTACGTGCTTGAAATTTACTTCTTTATACAATTGCTGCAACAATGGCAAGCTCACAATTCATTTTCCCCTTTTTCTTAACTGTTGCAGCACACATAACTAACGTCACGCCTGCTTCATTCAACATATTTCGTAATTTAAACACTCGTCAGTCTAAACAGTTTGAAGTTTTACAGCCTTAACATCGAAATCGTTGCATTTTATGACCGTGTGGATGGTGGTGACGCTGTCAAGCAGCTGCTGCAGTTTCAGCACTCTGTCCTGTGTGTCGACAGGCGCATAATCCTCTAGTCACAGCGAAGAAGCGTTTCAATTTATGTTCTTATCTCAATTCTCATGCTGGTTATTCATTTTGTATTTATTACTTCCATTTCTTAATCGCCCAACTTATAATGAAGTCTGCCTAAACTGGTTTTAATCATAACATAGAGTCGGTTTAGCGATGGAGTTCGGCTGAAAATGTGAATGCTAGCCACCCTTCTGGCTGAAACCTGGCAGTGACATCTTTGATATCAAGCTCTCTATTAAAACTACATCTTGTTCGTACAGACGGTGTATGGGTTGGCGCCACGTAATTATGTCACTGCCGGTGAACGTTTAGCACCACCCGTTGGCAAACACCCAGGCCAGTCTCTCTGTTTGGCTGTTTGGTCTTGCTTGGTTCATTGAGAGTCATTTATCATCCCGTTTTTGGGTCGTTTTCGCGGGCGGGTAAACACCTCTACTGCGGTAATAACTGGTGGCCTGGGTCGATCAAGGGCCACCGACTGTTTTGTCATTGCCCGGCGTGGCTCTTTGAAGGGCCACCGACTGTTATCCATTGCTCAGCGCTCGCCGCCGACAGCCTGCTGTCCGATGCCGTTAGTCGTGTTTGCGTTGGCCGCTCTCGGACAGGTGTGGAGCCACTGGCCACTGGGCCGTCCGTCCGGCCCGCCCCCCGCTCCCGCTGCCGACATTGGCATCCGTGCCGGGCCGGAGAACGTGACCGGTCGGCGTCAGAGCGGTGGAACAGCGGGGCTCGCCGACCGGGACGGGACGGCGCTGCCAAGTGCCGCCCGTCGGGGCTGGCGCGCCGGCGCCGCCGTCGCCGCCGAGCGCCCAGACGCGGCCGACGCCAGGCCGGCCGACGCGCCGCGCGCCGTCGCCGACGACTCGCCGCCGAAGCAGTCGGAGCGCCGCCGCGGACGCCACTTGTTGAGCGGTGCCGCCCTCCGCGTTCCCTGGTGTGACCGCGCGCTCCCCGCAGTGTCCCCCTTGGTGCCTCTCACAGTGCCTCGCGCGCCTCAGCCCGCTGAGCTGAGCCTGTGCCTCTGTCTCATCGCCTATCGAATCGCGCACCGCCTTCTTGTGGCTGTGACCGAGCGTTGTGCGACTGCTGGCGTGATCAGACACCGCAATGATCGACTGGGTGTCGATAGTGCGCGCCTCGCGGCGCCGCTTCTCGTACCGGGGCCGGCCCGGTCAGCGCAGGGAGAAGCGACGGCGGAAGCTGATGCCGCAGTACTATGATGACGACGCGTGCTGCATCTGCTGCTTCGCTGGAGCTCCTGATAAGGAGTGCGAGGTGGGTGTGGTGGCTGCGCTTTCGGATAGAATGAGACGGCCTTACCTTCGACCGACCTGCGCTCTATTTTGATGGCATTTGATGCCTCATTTTGGTGGTGTTATATATTCGGTTAGTTGCGGGCGACAGGAAGGAATGCCTGATCAAGGTTGATCGGCATGTTGATGGTGGTGTTGATGAGTGTTCAGAGGCCAGTTTCACCAATAAAAAACAGACGGCTGCGATTATTTTTTGACAAAACGATAGTCTATAAATCCTATTTACCGGTGGAAAAAGTAATTGCTGACCAATTAATATAGCACTTGAAAGCTAAGTTATTACATTTTTCAAGTCAGCGATTAGTATTTTCAGCAGTAAATGACATTTTGAGACTATCGTTTTGTCAAAAAATAATCGCAGCCGTCTGTTTTTTATTGGTGAAACTGGCCTCTGGGCCAGGCTTTGGATGCTTCCCGTCGGGTGACTGTGCCGAATTCCTGTTCCTGCTGACTGCATGGCTGGCTTTTATCGAGATGCCATTCCACACACTCAGCCGGAAGTCGTAAAGTGCAATGGGCGGAGCTTTGGAGTCTTCGTCCATCCGAAGATCCTGTTCGAATGTGGACTTCTGCAGAGACTTTTGGCATCGGTCTGCATTGACAAGGAAAAAGGCAAATTCATCCCTGCATCACCTGGTAGTAAAGTAATCTTGCATCGGCCAGTGTCTGAAACCATCCTCTTTATGTTGAACGGTCCGTATCTAAGATACTCTGGTGGAAGGCAGGCACCGCCAGTGACCCCTCACTAATTACCACATGTCATACCCAGCGGGCAACGCGACGGTCCAACGCGTGCGTCGTGCAAGCCTGACGGACCGACGCATCGCCACTGGGTTGAAGCATTGAGGCATCGGCCCCGGCGAGTTGATGATGGCGTCACTTTGGGACGTTAACCCGGCGGCCGCTGGGCCTCCGCGCCACCCGCCGGCCGCTGGGGGGGGGCATATAGTTGCCCCCCCTTTACTTCCGCGGCGATATCGTCGCAACGCGAAGAGATAGAGAAGCGAAACTTTGCACACATCTTCCTGAATACCTAGCCGAGGTTGTGTCCAAATTTGGTGTCGATCCCATTTGAAATGACGTCACAGTGACGTCATAAGTCAAATTGTAGATTTGCGACTCTCAGTTTCCTCACGATACATCAGGTATATGGGACCGAATATAAAGGGCCGATTATTGGTTAGGAACTAGATGGAAGTGTACTTAGATGTTTTAGGATGGCAGCAGGTGCTGTCTAGTTCATTTACAGTTGAGTTTCATGCTCAGCGTCATCAGAAACGGTCCATATCGGAAAACGACAAAACTTTATGACGTCACTGTGACGTCATCTTAGATGCTACAACCACCAAACTTTCTTCAAACATTGCCTAGGTATTCATTTGAAGCTATGCCAAGTTTCACGTTCGTAGCTCATCAGGTTTTGGAGATATTCCACAAAACGTAAAGGGGGGGGGCAACTTTATGCCCCCCCCCAGCGGCTCGTGGGTTAACCATTTGGCGACAGCGTCACGGCAGAACTTCTCCGCCCTGTGACGATGTCACCGCGGGCCATTATCTATCCCCTGACGCCGTTTCTTGCTCTGGCTATTTTAGCCCCGTTCGATCCCACTTTGGCAGCATATGGCAGCACTATTCCCTTTGCGGCAGGCGGCGCCGCCGCCATTTTGAACTGAGCGTTTCGGCGCCAGTTTTGGTCTGCGGTTAATGTTTGCTGCAATAATTGGGATAAATTTTCTTAACCAATTGTTACAAAGCACGGTAGAAACTTACATGGTCGCAAGAGAAGACGACAGACGACACTACACCACTCAGCACACCCATGTCCACCCTCCCCGAGCGGCACCGCGCGACACTAGGGGACGCGCCAAGGTCGCGCCGTCTCCCCTACCCGCCGCGGCGGGGACCCTCGCCGCCGGCCGTACAGTCTCGCCGCCGGCCGGGTACAGTCTCGCCGCCGGCCGTACAGTCTTTAACACTGACAGCGTGGTCGCTGAATCCCAGTCGTTATCCATGCCAGTCGGTAGTCTCTGCGCACAAACGGTGGCACAGATCCCTGAAAAGACACAACTTACCGCTTGATTCGCATTAGCTTGAGAACGTTATGAAGGGAATTATGAAGTAAATCGCCGCAGCGCGCCAGTTACGTCTACCAATCCCGGATTAGAGAAGCCGATCCGGATCGGCCAATCCCGGTGCGAATCCCGTTTCGGGAGGGATCGGTCATGGAAACGGCACTGCTGATCCGGATTCGCCGATCCGGATTCGCCGATCCGATCCTGTCCGTAGTGTCATGGAAACGGGGCTTTTGAGCGGCCACCAGAGGACGCCATTCGCGTGTTTTTGACCACACAGGCCCAGCTCTGTGAGATGCGAATATCGTCTGCAGGTCTGCCGCACAAGGGTGCAACTGGCTGGCTCTCTTGCCGTTGGTTGGCAGCAGTGAGATGTTGTTCGGACGGGGGCGGGCGCAGAACGTACGCCAGTCTGTTTGTTTTCACGTCGTCGGTACGATGATGTTGATTGCTCCGCTAGCTTCATTACGGATACAAATAGTGCGGTTTGTTGCCCGTTTGTGGTAGGAATTATATACAACCGGTGATGAATCACTTGGTGGAAACGGGTTCTGTAGCTATTTTCTAACGATTTCTTATCCACAAGGACTGATGGTATCTCACCATGGTATTGTGGCGTTTTTTGTTCTATCCCTTTCGTGTATTTTTGGAACATCATTGCTATTCGTGCATAGTCAAAGCTCATGGATGGCATTTTGTAACTCAAACGCCTCGGTGACACTTGGATGACATAATGCTGCCTTAGTCACAGCGGCTGCCTGTGCATCAGTAACACACCACTGACGCTACTTCGGTACATTATTGGGACATCATTGACGCTGTTGGCACATCATCGGGACATCACCGGGACATCACCGAACCTGCAGCTGCACAGTACGGCACGTGACTGGCACTCTAGCGGTGGCGGTAGGAACGCAATCGCAGTCGCGGTATGTTCTTGCACACTATGCAGCTGGTGTGGTGATACTGGCGGTGTAGTGGTGTGACGTCGGCACCGTTCGACTACTGTGAGAACAGTTGTCGATTTGTTGGGCCTCGCCTTGCGCTGTGATGCAGCTGCATCGGCACCATGCTCTCTCTCTCTCTCTCTCTCTCTCTCTCTCTCTCTCTCTCTCTCTCTCTCTCTCTCTCTCTCTCTCTCTCTCTCTCTCTCTCTCTCTCTCTCTCTCTCTCTCTCTCTCTCTGTCTCTCTGTCTCTCTCTCTCCTCTCTCCTCTCTCCTCTCTCCTCTCTCCTCTCTCCTCTCTCCTCTCTCCTCTCTCCTCTCTCCTCTCTCCTCTCTCCTCTCTCCTCTCTCCTCTCTCTCTCTCTGTCTCTGTCTCTGTCTCTCTCTCTCCTCTCTCCTCTCTGTCCTCTCCTCTCTCTCTCCTCTCTCCTCTCTCCTCTCTCCTCTCTCCTCTCTCCTCTCTCCTCTCTCCTCTCTCCTCTCTCTCTCTCTCTCTCTCTCTCTCTCTCCTCTGCTCCCTCTGCTCTGACATGACAGGTCAGCGCGGCAGCGCCCTGGCACGCCGCTGGGTCGTCCCGCCATGACCGGGCTATTGTCGCCGCTCGTCTCACGAGTCCAAATTGCTGAGCGCTGCCAGCCCTTCCAGCTCCCAGCGCGACTCAGTGGGGCGGGGGAGGGGGAGGGGAGTCTGTCGGCTCCACAGGGCCGCTTGCCATTCTGCGGCGAGTCTGTGCTATATAGCCGGCGTCTGCCAGCTCTGGTCTCGCGGGAGAGGCGTTGGACTGGGTTATCTGAGGACCAGGACTCCGGGGAGCTGGCCTCTGCCTGTACTGCTCTGCAGCCTGCCATTCATGCTAAGGAGGCCTGCGGTGAGGGAGTCGTCTGAAAAGTCGCTGACCGTAGGAGCATTGCCGCTGTGAAAAAATGGTGAACCTGAACAATTTTAATGAGAACACATTTATTTATCACTTGTGGGGTTAAAATGTGGCTAGACGGTATCCACAGCGGAACCACCTTTGTGCTTAAGCTGCATCTATTCATTTCGAAACTATTAATGAACTAGCCAACGTTACCAACCCATTAGGAATTCTGGACGGCGGCTGCTGTAATAAATCGAACGGGCGGCGCGCCGGGGCGCTCATCAGTTGTGAATATGGGCCCATTGCTCTCTGCGGGCGGGTCGTCACATTGTTTTGGTGTTGGCCGCCACCGCAGTCCGTCCGGCCAGTGTTGGCAGCAGCCGGGCAGCGTGCTGGGTACGCCACCGGCTGGCTGCATGACCGGGCAGCGTCCCCGTCAGCGTCCTCTTCGGGGGTGTCAGCGCTGATGGTGGCGGGTCTCAGCGCTGATGGTCCTGGGTCTCAGCGCTGATGGTGGTGGGTCTCAGCGCTGGTAGGGTTATGGGGTACGTGTCAGCGCTGATAGTGGGTCAGAATCTCAGCTGGTGCTGGGTCAACAGGTCAAAATAGGAGGGCTGGAGACAGACTTTCAGCACCAGTGGAGGCGAGAGCCGGGCGATAGCGTCTCAACCTTGATATTGATGCAGTACTTCCAGTGCTTTTTTAGCTTCATTAGTTATGGAGAAGGCGTTTCGGCTTTATTGTCAAGATCAAGGAGGTTCTCAGCAAACATCGGGACAGGGGAGCAGGCTCTGAGCGTTCCAGGAATTTCTTCTCGTCATTGATGGGGTCACGGAGCTCCGGCTCTGACTCACGGAGTTTGTCTCCGCCTCATGAAACTCGTCCCGTTATCAGTGAAATACGCTCCAAACGACCGGCACGCGGCCCGAACGACAGTCATGTCTCGTTTATTAACGGTCTTGTCTGTATGGCGCCCAAAAAGGAGAAGTTTCTATAGCTGCTTCTACGAAATGCCGCCGGCATGAGAAGTTCTCTTCTCCGATCAACTTTGAGTTTGCCCCGTGTAAATTTTCATTCAGGTCGAT